TTTTTTCCAGTGGCCCTAATCCTCTTCCGTAGGATAGAGCAGTTTGACAGACGAATGTTTTTTTTTTTTATAAACTTATATGCAAAATGTTTGTATATTTTTTTTACAACCTTGGTATAAATCCTGCTCTGAGTGGGTCGCTCTGTCAGCTAAAGGGATGTTTTACAAATTATACTCCAGTTAACGATAAACTTATTACTAAATTAGTTAACGTTTATTTCAATAATTAATTATTTGCAATGTATCAACATGGTCCTGCATGGATGGAAACTGCTACTTCGGGAACAAAAACCTTAAGAATGAGGAAAACAATCCAGATGTGGCTGAGTAACAATCCTGTCTGCGATTAGAGTAAGTGATCAACAGTCAGGATTAGTTTTAGACGTGATAAGCAGCATTTCAGAGTAAAACAGAAGTTATGGAGGAAGATCAATATTGCAAAGGTTCCATCAACTGAATTTATCTGCTGAAAAGTTTTCCGCTGTTTTTCAGCAAAACATTGAACTAAAACATCTTTGTTGACTGGAGACTTTGATCCTCTAAAGAGAAAAAAGGCAGCAAGTGTTTGAGTTTCTTAACTTTATTAAATATTTCACAACATATACAGTGCATGTTGGATGAACAGATAATGTTAATAAAAGGAATGACTCAACGTTAAAAAGATCTGTGTAAATGAATCTGCTGGTCAGGAGGATTAATAGAAGTTATGGTAGCTTAAACATGTCAACAAATAAACTAAAAACAACTAATCAGCTTAAAGATGGAGTAAAGGTGACTTACTGTAAGCACACAGCGTGTCAAACAAAACAAAAATAAGAAAAGATCGCCACAAAAATGACGGCAAGAACAACATGTTTTAATCCCAAATGTAAGAAAATATTTCACTTTATTCTTGATGATGTCAAACTGAAATTTCCCATAAGTCTCTGCTTCAACTAATATCATTAGCTGAGCTTGACGTGCTAGTTAACCATTTGATTCAGGCGCATTAGGATTTAAGTTTGAGAAACCTGAACTGCAGCAGAAATGTGGCGACCAAAGCCCCAATCCGAGGCAGGAGGAGTCAATCAGCTCGTTTATTGGATCACCTCCTTTTTTCACACTGCAGGTCAGTTTTTTTGTGAAATTTGATTCTTCTGCATAATTGAATGTGATCTCCTGTATGAACTGCATTCATGGCGCTTAAGTGTCCACATGTGCAGTAGAGGACGCAATGACATCATAAGTAGCGAGTGTGTTCTGTGTTAACAGAAGGAAACATGGATGGTAGTTCTAGAGCCCAACTAGTGATCTTTCATTTGTTTTCCAACCTCAATCTTTTTAATGAGGTTTAAAATAGACTACCCTCTGCATCATTATCCGCCATTATTGTTGTTTTTCTTCCCATTTCTGCGTAGCAAGATGCAAATAGTGATCTTTGTTGAGTATTAGTGATGTTCAGGTCGGATGAATGCGACCTGGCCGTTCAGACACAGGTCACATTTAAAAAAGATTAGATTCGTATCGGATTTGGGCCAAGTGGACTGGGTCGCGCTGGTTAATACTGGATCTGTGTTGTTCAGACTGTCATTAACCTCTTACACCCTCAGGGGGTATAAATAAATTTCTGCCTGACAAAAACACACAAAAGTAAAT